CGTCTCGCATCCTTAATTTCCTGTATCTTTGTCTTCCTTAGAAATGGGGAATATCTTTTGTTGCTTAACGTTCAAGGGATGCCGAGATTCGCATGAAGCCTCAACGAAACAATTTAAAATTATACTTAGGACCAATCTATCTCCCCGGTAAGTGGCCAAAATGGGAGCTATCTTTGTTTATTGGTGCATGGAAAGTTCACAGCTTTATGTAATTTGTCACCCACCATTTCCTCCCTTCACCTTTTCGTTCCCCCCTTGCTTGTGTTCTCAAAACTTCACCGTCCATTTTTGTCACTTTCCATGCCAATCCCGTTTCATGGTTCCCCTCCTCATATCGGATTTTCCCAGCTGTCTCAATCACAGCGCCCAAGATTAAGCGCCAATCATCATTTCATTGGCCGGTGGAAGTGCCATTTTGAAGTGGGGTTCTGTTGATATTGATTACTTCCTCTTTTCCAGAGAATTATTTCCCCCCAACAGAACCACCAAGGGCGTTGACCCTTCAATCCATTAGTTCCACGACAGAAACATCAGAGAGAGACAGAGAGGCGGAGCACGTTCATATTTCATGACGGTCAGTTCTTCATTTTCCTTCTTTCTGTGGCCATTAATGGTTATCTACAGGCATATGATTCTCTCTCTCTCTCTCTCGGACGTCAATCGAGAGAAAGTAAGGGCGCGCATGGAATCCATTCTGGAGCAAAATTTCTGCTCCAGAATGCATTCCGGAACAGAAATGCGTTTGTTAAAAAATTTCCGAAATGCATTCCGGAGGAATTTTTGCATTCTGGAGCAAAAATGCGTTTGGTAAAAATACATTCTTTTTTTGGTTCCAGAATGAGTTTTTGCTTCCAGAATGTGTTTTGGGCCAAAAAAAAGAAGCTAGTTTTTGTAGCTTCTTGATTCCGGAATGCATTTTCCCTATTTTCTCACAAATTTTTTTTTTTCAGAAAATGCATAAAAATTGAAAAATTCTAGAAAAATTCATAAAAATTTCCAGAAAATAAAAAAAAGTCAAATTTCGGGAAAATATGAAATTTGGTGAATTTTTTTTTAAAAATAAAAAAAAATCAAAAAATTCAAAACTTCACATAATAGCTTAAAATACATGTGGCCACCTACTTTGAGTGAAATTTAAATTTTTTGAGGTGCCCAAAAAAAATCAAAAATTTCAAAACTTCACAAAATGGCTTAAAATACCTATAGCCACCTACTTTGAGTGAAATTTTAATTTTTTGAGGTGCCAAAAAAAAAGAAAAATAATAAAAAAATAAAAATTTTCAAAACTTCACAAAATGGCTTAAAATACCTGTGGCCACCCACTTTGAGTGAAATTTAATTTTTTTGAGGTGTCCAAAAAATTAAAAAATAAATAAAAAATTTCAAAACTTCACAGAATGGCTTAGAATATCTGTAGCCACCCACTTTGAGTAAAATTTAAATTTTTTGAGGTGCCCAAAAAAATAAAAAAATAAAAAAATTCAAAACTTCACAAAATGGCTTAGAATACATGTGGCCATCCACTTTGAGTGAAATTTAAATTTTTTTAGGTGCCAAAAAAATAAAAAAAAATTAAAAATTTCAAAACTTTACAGAATGGCTTATAATACATGTGGCCACCCACTTTGAGTAAAATTTAAATTTTTTTAGGTGCAAAAAAAATCAACAAATCAAAACAAATTTCTGTTCCAGAAATCAATTTCTGGAGCAGAATTAGTCATGTTTTACCAAACAGATTTCTCCTCCAGAAATCAATTTCTGGCAAGAATTTAATTTCTGGAACAGAATGGTTACCATTCGCACCCTAAGGGTGCGCATGGAATGCATTCCGGAATAAAAATTCTGTTCCGGAATGTATTCCGGAACAGAATGGCTTTTGTTAAAAAATTTCTGGAATGCATTCTGGAGCGATTTTTGCATTCTGGAATAAAAATGCGTTTGTTAAAAATACTTGATTCCAGAATGCATTCTTGATTCCGGAATGAGTTTTTGGCAAGAAAAAGAGAAGCTACTTTTTGTAGCTTCTTGATTCCGAAATGCATTCTCCCTATTTTCTCACAATTTTTTTTTCAGAAAATGCATAAAAATTGAAAAATTCATAAAAATTTCCAGAAAATAAAAAAAAGTCAAATTTCGGGAAAATATGAAATTTGGTGAATTTTTTTAAAAAAAATAAAAAAAATCAAAAATTTCAAAACTTCACAGAATAGCTTAAAACACATGTGACCATCCACTTTGAGTGAAATTTAAATTTTTTGAGATGCCAAAAAAAAATCAAAAATTTCAAAACTTCACAAAATTGCTTAAAATACCCGTGGCCACTTACTTTGAGTGAAATTTAAATTTTTTGAGGTGCCCAAAAAAAAGAAAAATAATAATAAATTAAAACTTTCAAAACTTCACAAAATGGCTTAAAATATCTGTGGCCACCCACTTTGAGTGAAATTTAAATTTTTTGAGATGCCCAAAAAAATTAAAAAAAAATAAAAAATTTCACAGAATGGCTTAGAATATCTGTAGCCACCCACTTTGAGTAAAATTTAAATTTTTTGAGGTGCCCAAAAAAATAAAAAAATAAAAAAATTCAAAACTTCACAAAATGGCTTAGAATACCTGTGGCCACCCATTTTGAGTGAAATTTAAATTATTTTAGGTGCCCAAAAAAATTAAAAAAATCAAAAATTTCAAAACTTTACGGAATGGCTTATAATACATGTGGCCACCCACTTTGAGTAAAATTTAAATTTTTTTAGGTGCAAAAAAAATAACAAATCAAAACAGATTTCTGTTCCAGAAATCAATTTCTGCTCCAGAAATCAATTTCTGGAGCAGAATTAGTCATGTTTTACCAAACAGATTTCTCCTCCGTAAATCAATTTCGGCAAGAATTCCGTAAATCAATTTCCGCAAGAATTTGATTTCTGGAGCAGAATGGTTACCATTCGCACCCTAAGGGTTCGCATGACAACCATTCTGTGCCCGTGAACTATTTTTGAACAGACATGATTTTTTTTGATTCTATGCCCGGAAACAATTTCTGTGCATTTGAAGGCGTTTGGTAAACTGTCCAAAATTTCTATTCCTGGAATAGAAAAGAACAGAAATGCGTTTGGTAACTACACACAAATTTCTTTTTATTAATAATATTTTGAATTGTTTAATTTTTTTTTCTTTCTACCCAGGCCATGGCCGGTTGCCGGCGACCGGCCACAGCCCAGGGCCGGTGAGGGCGTCACGGCCCTCGTCGGCCGCCGGGAGGGGGGGCGAGGGTCCCCTGCCGGCGAGGGCGAGGGTCGGACCTCGCCGCCCGGGCGAGGCGGCTCGCCGTCGGTCATGGCGAGGTCGGCCTCGCCCAGATCTGGCGAGGCCGAGCCTCGCCGTGGGTCGTGACGGCGAGGCTCGGCCTCGCCCACCGTGGGTCGCGACGGCGAGGCTCGGCCTCGCCAGATCCGGGCGAGGCCGACCTCGCCATGACCGACGGCGAGCCGCCTTGCCCAGCGACGAGGGTCCGGCCCTCGCCCTCGCCGGCAGGGGGACCCTCGCTCCGCCGGGCGGCCGGCGAGGGCCGTGACGCCCTCGCCGGCCCTGGGCTGTGGCCGATCGCCGGCGACCGGCCACAACCCAAGAAGAGCAACACAAAAAGAAGAAAAGAAAAAAAAGAAACTGATTCTCAAAATTGTGCCGAGAAACAAGAAGCAACTTTTTTTTACTTCTTGTTTCTCTTCCAAAACTGTTTCTCGGCACAAATATTTGCAAAAATGTGCCCGGGAACAAAAAGTTTACCAAACGCATTTCTGTTCCCAAACTATTTCTGGGAACAAAAGAACAGAAATTTTCACTGTTTGGCACGTTACCAAACGAGCCCTAAATGTAGCAGAAGCAGAGCCATGTGAATGAAGTAGGCAAGAGGGTAAAGAGTAATTGTATTTGGTGCCCTGCAATAGGAGAGTGACTTTACGTTGGCCGGAAAAAGTAATGGCAACTAGGACGGAGTGCGAAGGGCTCGATTCGTGCAAGGGAATGTCACTTAGCCCGATTAGTCGACGTGGGTTCACTACTACAAATGCATCGCGACCGTTGATCATGTGGGTCTCCCCTCCGCTTCTTGTGCAAGTCCCACAAGATCAACCATCTCCGTATAATTAACCCGCTAGTCTCATGTCTCGATAACATCCTAGGGAAATTTTCCATCTCTCTCACAATTAGTCCCTTTTCCTTTCCAATCTCTCCTTTCTTTTTACGAACTTATTACATATCTATAAGAGCCGATATTTGATAGATACTCTAAAGTAAAATTACTTCATTAGCATATTTGATAGAAATATAATATCTTTCAAAGGCTCGAATCTGATATGCGAACCGGCAGAGGAGTTACCGTGCTTATTTGTGATATAATGCTAAAATCAATTAGTTCCTTTTATTTGTTCAACGTAGGTGTCGGATGGGTACCCCCGGATTGTTCTTTCACATAGTTAGAGATAATTAGGGATTGTTCTAAGATAATTTTGTGTGTTAGAGATATTTGACGAGTATATCTATTTTTGACTGTGCATATCTTGATCGATACATGTTATCTTGGATAGTCTATTTCATAAAACCTATTGATAGACTGATGCACTCTTAAAATATATTGAAATATACACAAAATTCCTATATTCTTATATTCTGCATCATTATTCTTAACTCGTACGATAAATCAAGTCCATCTTATTTATTCCATTGGAGTTAGAGGACGAAATAATGATGTTGAGATGATTATGTCCATCGCAACCCTTTTGTTTTGAGTCCCGAACTTCGACACACGTGCTTGATTAAAGATTAGTGATGTGGTCTCGTAAACAATTTAGTCGAATCATACTTACACTAGAAATTTCGGTAAACTCGGAATCATATCGGTGCTCATTTGCGTGGTTATCAAGAATATACAAATAAATGAACATATAACACATAAGTAAGAGTATTAATCATTGAAGATATGAATTTGGGGGCGGGTGTTCACGATGGCGGCATTCAGGATGGCCACCTGCCGCATGTTCGACAAAATGCTTCAGTTGGTGAGGCTGGAGGCAACACAATTTTACTTGGATCGAATGAATGGAAGAATTCTGCTTTCCGTGCACACTGCATACATATAGATTAAACTTTGTTTCCTTGAGGATGTAAGCTGTGTTTGCTTTCTGTTTCATGCTTCTGTTGTGTGCATCGTTATGGACTGCAATTTGAGCTCTTTTGGAGGGGGTTTATGTGCATTTGGAAGATGCATATTTGAAGCGTGTCTTAATTATTTGAAGTTGATTGATTTAGTGTGCTTGTGAAGCTTCAGTTGCGATCGAGGCTTGTGCCAAAGTGATTGATGGAAAATACATTGCAAAGCAAATCAGAGACGAGATTTCAGCTGAAGCATCTAGAATGAAGGAGGCGATTGGGGTTGTACCGGGGTTAGCGGTGGTTCTTGTCGGCGACAGGAAGGATTATGCTCCATATGTACGCAACAAGAAAAAGGCTTGTGAGTCTGTGGGGATTAACTCCTTTGAAGTGCATTTGCTCACAGATTCAAAAGAAGAAGATGTGCTCGAGTTTATCTCAGGATTCAATGATGATCCTTCGGTTCATGGCATTCTTGTTCAGTTACCACTGCCTTCAGTATGTATCTAAATGCACTTTCTTCCCCAATTAATTGACGTAGACTTCTCAAATTATGTTTCTCGGGTTCGATCTTTAATCTCATGAGTGGAGCATTCGTTGAAAAAGGTGAATTTTGATGATCACGTAGGAGTTATGACGACCTTTGTCCTCAGATATGAGTTTTTATACTTCATAGAATCTTGCTGAAAACCAACTTCCTATAAGGCGGTCATTGGACTCTGAGGAATAAAGCCTCTTGGCCCTATCTGCCGTATTAACTAAATGGCATCTTCTTGTTCTTTTTAGAATATTAACAACTAAATTGTTCCTCTGCCAGCATATGAATTTACAGAGAATCCTAAATGCAGTAACTATCGAGAAAGATGTGGACGGATTTCACCCATTGAACATTGGTCAACTTGCTATGATGGGTAGAGAGCCCTTGTTTGTGCCCTGCACTCCAAAAGGCTGAATGCTATTGTCATGGCATTCGCAAGACAATTTTACTTGCACAAGAGGCAAGCACTTAACGTATTTGTTTTGATTCAATAATTTTGAACCCCGTTTTATGAATGAACCTAATAGGGAAAAATGAAAAGAACAATGTTGACACCTAAATTTTAGCGATCCACTTAGGTATATATTGCATAGACAAATTAGGGGTCAATCCCGACCCCTAGCAAAAATAATAATTAAACCGCATATAGATATTAGGAGCATTTTCATTAATAGTTAATTAAGCATATATAGTTTGCATATTTATCAGACCGGTGGCGGATGGATTCGAGCGAATGGTTTTGAGCTTAATTGAATTGATTGAACCAAGCCCATGGCTGAAAATTACCTCGCGCTTCACACATGTTGGCCAAATTACACGTGTAATATACACGTGGAGTGGTCAATTTAGAAAAATCAATTAAGCTACTACATTACCAAAACTTTGAGAGCTTAAGCAATAACCAGGCTCGTGTGTGAGAGATGGGAAGATTATTTTGATCATGAGCATATATTGGTGTATATACTTCGGTCAACAAAGAGGAAACATCGAAAGAAACAAAAGGAAAAATATAAAGAAGTGGTGGATCTTGAGGAAAGTGAACTAAGGAAGTACACGTTTGCATGGGTTGCACTCTGTTTGATTGGCATCCTCAATGGCTGCCATAGGCATCCTCTACCAAGTTCTACGCAAGCGTTCCTTCGAGATCGCTAGCCGCAAGCTCCCTCACTGATTCCACACCGCGAGCTAGCCATTGAGACCAAGTTCCAACGACCCCCAGCCACCAGCCGCCGTCTGTGAGCCGGTCACCGTGAAGCATCGTCAATCCCGAGCCATCAGTCGTTCAAATTTGGAAACGTCATTCGTGCAATATTTCGAATTAGGTAATCTGTCATCCGATTTAATTTCGACGTCTAATTTGAGTTTATTGTGATCTCAATTAGATGTTGTATCGATATTGTCATATCCAAAAATCTTTTCAAAATTCATGAATTAGGATCCTTTCCTAATTTCACAAAGTGCATATAATCGCCAATCCCATTTCATGCCCAAAATACGACTCGCGATCGCACAAAAAATCATCAATCTGATCTCCCGCCTGAGATACGATTCGCGATTGCATAGAAAAATGGTCGTCAATCCGATCTCATGCTCGAGATATGATTTGCGATTGTACGGAAAATTGGCCAATCCGATCCTCATGCACGGGATATGATTTGTCAATTTATTTTCCAATTTTAAATGGATATGGATGATATCTTGGGTAAATGGATGCTATCTTTGATTTTGTATTGATCACAGTTTTGATTTGATTCTCTGTTAAAAAAATCCCAAAAAGATTATATAGGATCAAGGTAAATTTTAATATATAACATTGCATGTTTAAATAGATTTTAGATAAACTTTTAAAATTAAGTAGAATATAGGTTAGAATCTTTCCTCTCTAGATGGATTGCATGCTAAGATAGGGTTTATCTAAAATGAATTGGACAATATCTTGCACTAGATATAAATTTTCATTATTTTATAATTTCGAAATTTAGTTGAAAAAACAAAAAAAAAAGTATCATCCCCATGTCATATAGATTAATTGTCTCATGCTTGCATCATCACTGCCACGTTATTACTACGTGTCACGTATGCTATGTCACATTGCCATCTTGCCACGTCATCATAACTTCCCGGGTCATTGCTTAACTGTCATTTAGTGAATGTATGTTAGGTTCATGAAATTGTGTGTAATGTTAAAATAGTTGCATATTAATTTTGCTCGTCATTAGAAATCTCATGTCTAGGTTCATTGCGTGCCATATTAGAGATAGTCAATTTAATCGTCATTATAATTAGGACATTTAGGTAAATCGTATGTTGCATGTCATGTTAGACTAGCAGCATGCAATGCATATAGTTTAATTTTCACTAAATAAGAGAAAACTCCAAAAAATACATTGAGTGAAATTGCGTGTTAATTATAAATCATACTAGGGTGTTAATGTGATTTTCTACTAACATTGCATATGCTTTCGTTGCTTCAAGGTAAGTGTATCTCCATTTCCTTGCAATTTATTCATTGCTTTGATTATTGAGTGTTACATTAATAGTTGCGCACCCGCATGATCGCCTCACATGTTAGTGGCTTAGTTAAAATGAATCTAAGTTGCCTGTCAAAATATTTTTGCAAATAAAAGAGAAAAAGTATCAAAAGGGCATTAGAGTAATCTAGTGTAACAAAGTCCCCAAATCCATAATCTCTGGTTTGTAATTCTCCTGATACTTTATTTGGGTTTCTAATCAACCCACTAACAATAGATTAGTGGTGACTCCTAATTGAAATGATCTTGTATGTTAAGAACTTGAACCTAAGTTGCAAATTGATAAGGACTTGAGAGAGCCCGAGTTAAGTCTAAGCTTAATAATCCATTAGCTGAACCTTAGCTGAACCCCCTAGGTGGTGCACTGCGAGTGTAGGTTGCGACAAACAATTACAAGTCAGGGTGACAGATCGAGAGTGAAGCAACATTAATGTGATATTTGTGCTTGTGTGCGCTTGGCACAGAAATGATCACTTTTTAACGACGATTGGCACTGAAGCGATCATTTTTTAACAATAACTAGCATTAAAGTGATCACTTTAAAAAAAAATTGGCACTCAAATGATTACTATTTATAACTTTTAGACGACGTCGTTTAAGGGTTATATGCTGATTGAGCACGCCGACGAGCCACGTAGGACTGAGAAATTAATAAAATATGGTCACGTCGGATTTCCGACTATCTAAATCGGAGTTGGCACTTAAGTGATCGTTTTTTTTTAAATGTGACTTAAATGATCCAAAAAAAACTTTTGGCATTGGCACTGAAGTGAGCGCCGTACACAACTTTTGGCACTTTCATTGTCCTTCTCTCATTGACTTGAATCAACGGAAGGACGACATTAAACACTTTCGTCTAATCTACGGACTATATTACTCATTTAGTAATAACAAATTAAAAGTTTGGGAATGAAATTGTACAATGGGCCAGAATTCAAGAACCATTGTTGTCATTTTTCCTTTCTCCTCGTTAGTCCATCACTTCGATCACGAGAACTTGTTAAGAGTTCATAAATGCGAGTTCCGTCTTGTCCTTAAAATCACTGATGGCTCATGAATACCATGAGTGAGTCCTATCTTCAACCCTTACATAAGTCACCCTGGTTAGTTCAGCATCCAGTGACAGCTTCTGGAGCTAACATCTCTGTACTCTAAATAATTCAATGATTCGAATATCTATAATTAAAATAAGTCATTTGGCTTGCCGGCTTCGATGTTCTGGTCAGCTAAGAATGCCGTGATAGCATTTTTTTCTGCCAGCTCTTGAAACTCCTGCAGACAACATTATAAGCAATGGTCAACTCACGGCTTAAATGTTACCAGAACTTTGCTAGAACTAAGTCTGTCGCTTTAATCCTTCCAGGATTTTGGTGCATAGGTCAAATGCTTTTAAAATTGGTTGATGCTCTGTGCGCGCCCCCTAGCTATATCGTTTAATCTACGCACATTAAGAATCTGTACAATAGGCTACTCGAACGTTTGACATATATGTCTGTTCGGATGACTTACTTATGATCAAGATGCCCCACCAATGTCGCCACTGGGGAAAGGCAACTCTGCAGGCACTGTCGTATTAACGTATGCTCCCCAGGGATCGTTCCTGAAATTATCGTGAAAATGCTATGTAACTTCGAACACCTCAAGAGCACCTAATAAGCTTGGGATGTTCCAACTTGAAAAGATCTTATCTTTCTTCTGTCTATATCTCTAATCAGAACAGGTAGCATTGGATATCAACCACACGAAAAGACTTATAGCATTAAGGAGGATTAAAAAGTTAAAAGACGTCTTATTGGACAATGTACATATGCCAAGTCGCGTAATGTCCGTCACCTATCCCAAGCAAGACTTTTTTCTTAGCCACAGCCCTGATACAGTATCAGAGGCAAAAATATAATTCCATGGTCTTGAGCAATAAAGGACTAATATTTACAGTCAAGAGCACTTGTGCTGTCTCAGTTTCCTGTACTCAGCATTTCACATCTACGACGAAGGTGAATATCTTTTGTAAAGAAACACAAAAGTTATACTGCTTCCCCAATAGTCTTTGGAAGGGGAAAAAACACATCTACAGAGTGTTGAATTCAGTCACAAAGTCATACAAATAGCCTAGAAATGATATTGCCAAAGAAAGGCTAATTTCTTATAATATCAGTTAAAGCATGAGTGAATACCTGCTCCAGCTACCAACTGCAGGCTCTCCCCCAAGCCCAAGACCTTCCCAAACCAACTTCATCGGAACAAGTCATATGTCAGACTAAGGAATTAAAAAAATCTAAAAAAAGGATCAGATTTAGGAGTAAGAAGATCAGTACTTTTACACAACTACAGAAGGAATTAATAGTAACACCCCCCGAAACCCCATTGTACACTTATTCTTCCTAAAGTTTGAAATGATGCACCGATTGTTTTTTCCAGTGTTAAAGGATCAACACAGAATTTCGACTCGCCAAGAAGAACTGATTTTGTGCAAGAGTTACAAAAAGAGGGGTTGTCGTAGGATTTGTTCATACAAATCCGCAAACAATATATCAATTAGTATAATATCAGTATGATGAAGGCAGTTGTCGTCGTGATTCACTCTAGAAAAAAAAATCCATCTTGCATACGGTCAAACCACTATTGCACCATATCCACCGTGATAACTGCAATTAACATACCAGAATGCGCAAACTAATCACTACAAGAGGCAAATTAAAAGCAGGGGCATGCCACTAAATAGTACTCTATATATATAAAGCTGCGAACTCAACTTGAGCAATGACTTTAGCAGCATCCAGCCTCATCCAGTATTCTTCGGTACTCCCTAAATCAAGCACAAAAACACCACCGTGGATCATATCTATTTCTCACAGCCAAGTACATAAACTATAGGCAACGAAAGAGTGCAGCACACAGACTACAAAATCCACATTCTGAGCTAAACTCGACCATAAGATTCCATGAGCATTTGCACGGCAATCTACAAAAAGAATTAGTTAAAGGAAAGCAGAAAGAATATACATACTGTCAAGTAATTACAGCTATTTGTACCCTAAGAAAGAAAGGAGCTATTTGCTGTACGCTTGGTTGCTTGATATGACGTGGAAATCAAGTCAATAGTGTTGTCATATGGAATAGGACAGTTCAGAGAAACTAGACTTCAGGAAACACAATCAGATCATCTTTTAGGTGAGGGGCAACTTTACAATGATATAGCAAGCATATGAACGACAAGCTTTTGCACGTTAGATACTTTCCTACTATTGAACTTAAGTCATTATGGAATGGGATGGTACAAAAAGATTTCATTTTACTTAGTTAAATCTCAGCAACTTTGACAAAGAAGGTTTTATACATGATGGCAAGTCATTAATTGATGGATGACCAAAGGCAAATCCACGAGAAGTGTAGACGGTGAAAGCGCAACCATCTTTCGTTAACAGGACATAACCAGTGTCCATCATGTGGAAATTGGAATATGAGTAAAATGCTGGTCTTTCCATATTGGAGGAACTCAATCGAATCATTCCCATAGGCTTCCAATGTGGATTGAATAACACTAAAGCAAATCATCAGCAACAGGGACAGTGCTGATCTAGTTTGAACAATACAATTGAAGAATGAAATGAAAAGGGAGTTGGATATACCAATCGTCACAAACATTGCCAGCGTGTTGGTCTCCGGTTTATGATCAGTGCCCGTCGCGATAATCTACTCATAATCCATGAAAACAAACAGCCATCAATAAACATATCCAGAGTCATCTCTTACAATGCAACGGCATGCCGTGAAATAGACCCAACATACTGACGAACGAGACATAATACAGGGGACCCCAAGAAACAAGAACGTACCTCAAACTCAGGAACCAAATTATAGGACTGAGCAATCTTGTTCAACAATTCCAGCCAGGGCACTACTCTTGGATGCGGCGGCGGAACCCACGTCGGCTTCCCTCGTCGTTGCATTGGAACTTCGCTTTGAGGTCCGTCTACAACAACACCACACGCGCACACACCAAGAGAAGTCAAGATCACAGAACTATCTCTCCCAAACGCAAAAATTTAACGTCCGCCAGCTTCGAAACTCGAAAACGAAAAGCAGAACAAAATTACAAGCTGGGTGGACAGTGAGAGAAGGGCGACTGGTGACGCGAGTGCGCTTGCTGAAGAAGATGATCTCGTCCACCACCTCGCCGGTGGCTTCTTCCCAACGCACGTCGAGATGTTCTTCTTCCAAGATGCCTTTGTCATGTTGCAGCAGCCTCACTTGTTGATTGGCGAAACTTTTTATACCCTTCAAAACCCATTTCGCAGAACATCAGAACATCGGCCCAAGAAGAAGAAAAAAACCACTCAGATCAAACGCTGCTGTTCAACACGATATCAATGGAGGCGTGGATGACCTGAAGGGAGGGACCAGGGGTCCAGCCGGGCATGGCCAAGAGGGCATTGGCGGGATTGATGGACGCAGGGTCGGTGGTAGTGGCCACCAAAAGGATCACCATCTCTCTCGCTCTTTCCTTATTCCTTCTTCTTCTTCTTCTTCTTTTCTTCTCCTTCTTTATTGCCTGCGCTGTGCTCGACGAAATTCGATCTCCGCAAGTGCAACGAAAATCAATGAAGCATGGGAATTTCGTCAAGCAAGCGATCCGCCAAACGTTGTGGGCAGCTTCACTTTCAGTCGGCGACTGCAGCTTCTTCTCCTGAATAAATATTAGGTTGGGGACCCGGAGGGGTCTTGCCCGTGCGTCACTCCCTCCATTCATTGCCTGCCAAGTGTCTGAGTGGGTCCACTTTTCAAATTCTTTCCCTGTCCTTCGTTACTCTCTCACTCTTGCTCTCAACGTCTCTTCGTTTTCTTCGTCAGTACACTCAATTCGTTGATAAAATTTTTAATTGTGCCAATTAAATTTTAAATATTTTTATATTTTGTCAATTAAGGTTATCCGATCAATTTTAATCGAAAATTACTGATGTAAACATCAGACGTCCTACGTAGCACGGGCCGGCATTGATGTGAATAATTTTTAATAATATTTTATTATTTTTGAATTATGCATATCGATACAAATTTGAATTAGCATATATTTTTTTTGTCTGTTCTACTCTAACTCTCAACTCAATTTCAGTCTTTTGCCTTGCCTCTTTGTAGAGTGTGAGAGTTAAAATCCACATCTAAAATTAAACGTCACCACATCTAGCCCCCCTAGGAACCCCTTGCCCTCCTGAGAAGGTGAGAAATCAAACTCCCCACCTCCCCATTCCCAAGTAGGAAGGGTGGCTACTGAGGCAAACTCCAATAGTTAAATTAGCATATTTGACAAACATATAATATCTTTCAATGAATCTGATTCGATATGTGAATGGATAGATGAATTGACGGCCAAAGTCAAGCCACCAACCATCAAATTGGTATTAATTTACCTGCTAATCGGAAAGTCGAGAGATAGAGATAGAGAGAGACCAACCAACAAAATAAGAGATTTCCGGAATAGTGTTACCAAGCCGGGAGGAAGGCAAGACATAGAGTCAATTAAGATAGCCAGACTTCAACTCACCCTTTTGGATAGGACCGACGGGATGCTGTAGCTTCTAGCAAGCAAGAAGTATTAAAAAAAGTAGAATTAAGTACATTGGAAGTTTTAAAACTTGTTACGAAAGTGCAATTTAGTTTTAAAACTTGTAAAATGTGCAATTAAGGCACAAAATTTATCAAAATGATGCAATCGAATCTTTTCGTTAACTTCGTCTAACTTGGTTGACGAAAAATACATACGTGACTTTGTTCTATTATTTTTTTAATCTACGTGGCAATGATTTGACTAAAACGACGTCGTTTTGGTCTAAATTTAACTTTTAATGTAAATTTTATTCAAATGAACTTAATTATAAGCTAAATTTATTTAAAAGAAGATGAGGGGGTATGAAATCGGGCGGTGAGGGCACTGTCGCCGCCCCACCATAGTTGGGAAGGGCCGACGATAGTGAGGGATGGCCGGCGATGGCCAAAGGTGCCATTAGAGGAGGTTTTGAAACCATGCTCCTTGCCGTTGCCGCCCTGCCATCACGGGAAAGGGTTGGCGAGGGTCAGTGGACCTTGTTAGTGGTCGGTAAGCGTCACCAATCGCAAGCGAGGGCTTGGGCCATCCCAGGTTGCATCCCTCACCGATATGGCCGAGGACAGCCATTGGAGGTGGTCGATTGCCAATGGAGGCCCTTGGTCGGATTTGGGGGAGGATCGGTGATCCTCGCTCGATCTGGGGGAGGACCGCGACCTGGGTGAGGACCTAGTGTGACATTCGGAATTTTCCGTAACCAATAATAATATATAAGTTATAAATCTAAGTATTATTTAACTTATAATTCTGATTGACACGTAGAAATCTTAATTGAGTCGTTAATCTTACGAGGTATGAAAATGCGGGGGATGATTTTTGTGACTGTAATCATCCCAAGTTCGAAGTGTTGAAATTAAATTAATAAATGTTAACGTATACGTTGATGGTGTAGACTAACGGTAATTAATTTACCGTCGTCATAGTTGTTGATGGGGATCGATATTCTTCGAAAGATATGTTTAAATGATTATCGAGTTTTAGATTTACAAAATCGAAATTTTCCTAGCATCCGGTATTATTTATCAATAAATTTAGTATATTCAAAATATTTTTGAATTTATCAATATTTAGAACGAACACTAGTTTTCTTTTTCACATATTAATTTTTTAGATATCTTGGTGTTTTGACAAAATATCCACATTGAAATGGATCATATTATCTAATTTAAACTTAGTTAATTAATATTAATAATGATTTACTTAAACTAAGAAATGACCCACCCACTTGGCCGAAGTGAAGGGTTTTTTCTCATCATGATCACCCTCTTGCTATTTATATTAAGCCACATATTAATCACTCCTCATTTTAAGAGTTGCATGTTAAGCCTATTGCAAATTGAGACACATATGTTACTCTTGACACCTAAATTAAGCCATCATTATCATAAGCATTAGTCATCAACCCTTCTTCCACTTAGCCATAGATTAAATAAAACTTTGGCACATGTACATGCAAAGTCTCGTTCGAGGTAAGTGAAAACTGGAGTTAAGTTAGGACGATCTACTTAGTATTTTGAACTTGAGTGATTGATGTGTGTAAATTTTAGTTTTAGTAAAATTTGATGATAAGTGTGAGCATATTAAATAGTGGTATGTTGAGATTTTGTGATGATTTGATTTGCACTGATGAGTTCTTCCATGTTAAGATGTGTTTAATGGATTTTCTTGAGGTGTGGTAACATGTTGAATGTGAAAATGATGAAATTAGGCTTGAAAGTGTTATTTTCGTAATGTTGACTCTTACCGGGCATACTCACCTGTTGATCATATTTACCTTATATCCGCATATCATATTTACCTTATATCCGCCGATCATATCCACTTTTTGAATATGACCACTTATTGCTCATATTCACTTCCCCGAGTATATCCACTTCCTAAGTTTATTTATTTGCCTGAGTATATTCACTTGTCTAAGTATATCCACTTCATGATTATATTCACTTACCGAGTATATTCATTTATCTGAGTGTGACATCCTGATTTTTCATAATAATATTTATGTAACATTAGAATTTTCGGCGTCTAATAATAATGCCTAGGTTATAACGCTAAATATTATGTAGTTAATAATTGGGGTTGACACGTAAAAACTTAGTGGACCGTTAAGTACGGAGAACGTGGAGGATGATTTAAGTGAACGTAATCGTTCCGAATCCGACGTATTGAAAATTTAAAATTTATAAACATCGATGTATACATGGATAGTAGAGCGGTGCTAATTAACTTACCGTCGTCTTAGTATGGGTGATATTATTGGTTTAAATGTTAGATAATTAGTGATAATAATTTATTATTTACAATATGGTGTTAAAGAGAGATGGAATTCTATTTTCATTATGATTTCTTACAAAAACTTCTCTTAAGACACCTAAAACTCACATGGCATTTGGAGACTACATGCATGGCCACATGCCACTCTTAAACTCAACCTCTTGCATTAATTTGACACCTAACCATAAGCCACTTGTTCTTTTAATAATGCATGTAAGGCCATGTGTTCTTTTAGATTGAGGTCTTAATGTTAATTATGACTCATAATACTCACATGCCCTTCTAAGGATACATGCAAAGCCATGTGTCTCTTTCAAAGTGAGACCTCATGCTAACTTGACACCTAAACACTAAGTGTCATCACCATAAGGCATTAGTCATCAAATTCCTCTCCCATTTGGCCATCAACTAAGTGAGACATGGCCACATGTGAGTTACATGCAACCTTCCATCTAATAGTTACCCATGGTCATCGTTTTAATCTTGGTAATTTAGACTCAAAGTCTACCCAGCGGTATCACTCTATTTTCCATTCTCAGAAGCAGATTCTTCTTTCAGTTCTATTTTTCACGAGCAAGAAGGTGGTTAGGGCATCCGATTGTTCAAGATTTTATTTAAGAGGTAAATGAAAACTCTAAATGTTAAGTTAGTTCAATCTACTAAACACTTTTAAGCTTGGTTGGTTGAAATATGCCATTTTGATGTGCTATGATATTGTGGATATGGCGATTGTTGGATTCGTTTTGCTAGTTTTGTACATGTTTAAAAGTTGTGTGATTGGCTTTCTTTAAGTGTTGTATATTTGGTAAGCATAAATGATAAATCTGAACCTGAGTAGATTTACTCTTGAAATCGAGTAGATTTTACTTTTTGAATCTGGATATATTTCATTTTGAACACGAGTAGATTTTACTCTCTAAATCTGAATATATTTACTTATGAACCCGAGTAAATTTTACTTTTTGAATATGAAGATACTTACTTCTGAGCCTGAGTAGATTTTACTTTCTGAATCTGAATATACTTACTTTTGAACCCGAATAGATTTTACTTTCTAAATTTGAACATACTTACTTTTGAATCCAAGTGGATTTTACTTTCCAAATCTGAATATACTTACTTTTGAACCTGAGTAGAGTTTATTTTCTAAATCTGAATATGTTTATATTATGAACCCAAGTATATTTAATTTCTGAATATGAAGTTATTCACTTATCTTATGAGTATATAATTTAGTGAGTGCAACCGCATGTTTCTTTATGTGATTGAGTGACTAATGTACTTCATTATGTTGATAAATGTGTGACCAAATAAGAAGAAAAGAAGTGTACATGTATGGAAGTGCATGTAATTGATTGTTTATCATTATTTGCATGAGAAATAACAGATTATTGTGATGAATATGGCGATTGTTATGAATTGCATGCTAATGATTTGATTAAGACCTTTACCATGGCTTATTTGCCACCGAGTGAATTCTCTTGTATGAGTATGTGGATAAGACTCTGGAGTTAGCTATATGTTTTACCGTTTATAATGGTTCTCTACAAGATTGAGATGACATGAAATCATATTATGACTTGACTTACGTAGTCATGGAATGACTTGGCTTTCGTAGCCAAGGTATGGCATGATTTTTATAACCATGGTATGACATGACTTTTATAGTCGTGGTATGGTGCTAAGAAAAAGTCATTATCATGCGGATGTACACTGGTGTATTTATCCTCGCTAATGTAAATGACACATGTGATGAATGGGCTAAGGCATGGCAAA